GGTGTTTGTATGTCACAGCTCAACGTCAATATATTTTATTTGTCGTAAATATTGACCTAAAATGTTTACGGACTGTCTGTTGTAGGCAACATTGTCTTTTGATATGCTGACAGAGCGCGGTGTGTGGTGATTGGTTACACATGGAGCCTTTTTGGTTACTCTGAAAGCATTCATGTTGTGATTAGGAAAGACTGGGGACACTGACGTTTCTGCGAGAACAGAGGCATTCCTTTGGCATCGTAATGTGTAACATGTGCTTTGTTATATATTAAATACAGAGAAAATGTTTTGTCTCAGTGATTTCTTTGGTTTTCATCAACATGATCTCACAGCTTAATTTCAGCCATGCCTCGAGGTCAGTCAAATGCCTTTCCTGAAAAGCTTACATGTGTTGGAGAAAAGATTTCAGCGCTGCGTCTGAATTTGTACCTGTCCAGAAACAAACAGATCAACATGATCCAAAGCACTTACATTCATAACTTTCCGTGATGGTTCCCAGCTGTCGTGGTTTGTTCGCCGAATTAGACGAGTTATGGTTCACTTATGGAACACGGAGTAAGCCTAGTGTGAATGGAAACACACTTTTCAATTACTGTCGCACTAACTGTCTTTCAGACGGCGATGAAAAGAACAGATGTTCTCTGTGTCACTTTAAAGGAACAGCCTGACACTTACTTTTGACAGTTTGGGTCAGCAGGTCAAGACCAGACAGCTGGATTTATGACACGTTTCCTCCCTTATTCAGACCAGAATAAAAGAGAAGGAGTTTAGGCTCATTAAAGATGGTCAAATGTCTCCTCTGATGAGGACAGATGTGCATACTGAATGGAGTAGTTGTGTGTCATTCTTGCCTCATGCACCTTTATCTGTGCTCTGTCCAACGTGTCACATGGGGGATGACAACTCAGCAATATTTGACCTTTAAACCTGTTAACCCCGTTCCCTCCTTTGAAAAACAACAACAACATCCTGTCAATGTTTTCCACAGGATATCGTTCCACCCTCTCTTCTCTTAATCAGCTGCCAAATGCTAATCCATCATTATCCTCGTCCTCGTTTCCTAATGCGATAATGAGTTTAATGAGGGAAATTATTTTATTTTGGTGGCCAAGACCACAGAACTGTAACTGGGTGGAGGAACGCGGTGATAATCCTTTGAATTTTTCCCTCCCAAGGTCTACACCCATAAATGCCAGAGATAAATGTAATGTTAAAATGTTCTTTAGTGATCCTGTAACTGTTTTACTTTCCCTTGGTTGATGATCTGTTTTTTCCAAACATCTGACAGTTATTAAGTCCCTGCCATTTTTTCCACCAAGTCATTTTACTTTCGGTTTTTCTCTTTTTTTTGCGGAACTTTGCTGGAAATCACAGTATTTTGTACACACACTGTGGCATGGGCTTTTGCACTGGTCATTGAGGGGCAGTCCAACAACTCTACTCCATGACACGGTGTCAAAGGTTATTCTGATGAGGAAGCTGCACAGGGATTTTCTGAGGTCAAATTGCTACTGATCTCTTTGCAGCTTCCTCTTTGCCTGTTGACACTGCCTTGATCTTGAAGCACTCCTGGTGTGTGTACGGTCACCTCTGACCTGTTCAGGTCATCCCTCGTCTTTCTTGTAGGAATGACTTTCAAATAAACAAAATGCACTTTACCGATCTAAAGCCTTTTACTGTCAGTGAACTTCCACTAAGTCACCAAACAAGAACCAATATGTAAGATAAACTATTGTTGGGCTGAGAGGATTCTGCCTTGGCCGGGCATAGACCTTGGACTTAAAGCTCTGTGAGAAAATTCTGTTTCATAAAATCTAGCTGAGGTTGTACATTCACTTCTTTTCTATGGTAACACATAGTAGCCCTTAGTAATAATGGCTTGGGGTTGAACACGTTCATTTTAATTAATTAACTATAGAAAAAGAAAAGGTGGTGCTTTAAAAATAATAAGCTAGCTAAAATGAAAGTTTACGCACTTCATTTTTACAATCCATGCTACACCTGTAAAATAAACCCATACTGTGAAGTGAAAAGGGCGGAATGTAAAAGAAAGACAGAAATGTTCCTGTCATACCGATTACAGCGCTGCACCAATACGTGTTGCGCCAAAATATGACCGGTTCAGTGTGGGTTACAGCAACAGCATGAAAAAGAGGACACTGTTTTTTTCCTGGTGGACCGCAAGCTTCAGTTAAAAAAGCTGTCGAATGGAAACAGATACAAGCAGAGTTGTGTTCAACAAATGTAACAAATAATTTGCATATCACCGAGGAAATTCAAGAGGCCGCTGCCACCACAACACAAAATACGGAGCAAGGTTCACGGACACCACTAACTACCGTAGTCGCCAACCTACACTCCACCAATAACGACCGGTGAAACCGGGTTTTATGGACAAGATGAGTAAGTCCACGTCTGATAAATGAACGAACTCACTGGTGGTGGTACGTTGGTGGCACTCGGGGATATAACGTCATTTAACCCAGTTTATGGATAGACGAGGATAGGTACAGTATATTTGAATTTCAATGGATGTATTCAAAAAGCACAATATATTACACAATTCCATAATTATTAAAACACGTGTACTGTATATCTGTATGTCTGTTCATGTTTTCAGTCATCTACAGAATCAGTTTGAATTGTAAAACGTCGCTTGTTGTGATTTAAATGTGATTAATTAATTATAAAACTAATACATTTGATTATTTTTAATAAAACACATTATTTTCTCATTTGCAAATTAGCAAATTACCCCACCATAACGTTTCCAACCTTGAGAATTCTTTAGATTTCAAAAAAGTGATTGAAATTCCAGTCAGACCATATCATACCATGGAATTTTTCCAGAAGATCTAAGCGATACTGTAGAAATTCAGGTGGATTCAGTCATGTGGAAATCCACTCGAAGGAGAACAGAGCGTGAAAATGCTTCTGCTGTTCCACAGTTGCCAGTGTTTTACTTGGCAGGCACTTAAACTGTGAGGTGTTCCTGTTCTTTTTACAGTTGGTGACATCTATTCGAGCAGAAGGTGTTAGACGTCCTGCTGAGCCAATCTGCTTCACAAATTTGGGCACAGTGTAAAATGTAGAAAAAAAGGAGCTGTTCATAAATGATCAGACTTCCACTCCTTATCCTCAACACTAATGTGAAAGTGCTCTGTTCTCTACACTGTCTGTAACAGATATACCACACACTGCACTTAAACTTAAAGAGATTTACAGCAAATGTGTTTTTTCTTTTTCTTTTTTTTCAAGTCAGTGGTCTCGGGCTTTGTAATGAAATGACCTGATGTCCATCACAGTCTGACTCTGTTTAACAGAGGGCCTCTAAAAGATTTACAGTTCATTGTTAATGGTGTGGTTTATTGCAGTTTAATTCCATAAGCGCAGGTAATGGAGCCGAGATGAGCAGATTAAGGGAGTGTTGCTTTACAGATGGTGATAGTCTGTTCTTTATGCTTTGGAGAAAAAAAAATGACAATGAATCATTAAACAGAGATAAAGAAAAGAAAAGCAGCAGAGGAGGGGGAATTAAATCAGTTGAATTGTAAGTGCCCTTTTTCGGAAGGAAAATACTTCGACTGCCAGTGTATGAGGTATATTTACACAGACACTGTGGCGCTTCGTCAGTTACATTAGGAAAAACCTATGGTAATTATAAATGTCTGACCAGCCTGCAGTCCAGGTCCATCTGGTACTAAAATGTCTGGAGAATCTATAAGAAAGTGAGTAAAGACACTGGAATGTGACCAGATAATATATACAGAAATACAAAAGTCATTTTTTGGACTCGCGATGTAGTGTCAGTGTGGGCTGTACCAGGCCCTGCCTGTAGATAGTGGTAGATGATGAATGGATGAATAGTAAAAACATTAAATGCCTTGATTTCTCAAGATAATGTTTAATAAATTACTACCCAGAAATAAGTTTTATTGCATATGTACAGAGTGCATCAACTTTACTAAGATCACTCTTGGCCAACGTCCAAGCTCTTACAGCGATAGATGTAGTGAGAGTCTGTGTTTCCTTCACTGGGTCAAAGAGAAGCACCTTGCACTGTTAATACAGTTAAACAGAAGAGCGACAGCTGTTTGTACTCACAGGGAGTTTCTGTGTTGTGCGGTGTGATGACAAAGAAAGTCAGAAGATCAGAGTTAGTCCATGAGTCTACTCCGAACAGAGGAGGACGACGTGTGGCATGTCCAGATGTTGGACAGATGTTCAGCAACCAGAGGGAGGGGAGATTTAAAGTTTAAGGACCATCCAGTCTAAATCTGGATGTAAATCTGGATGTACAAAAAAAAAAAATCCCCCCCCCAATGACACACGTCAGTTTACAAAGTCACGGCTTATTTAACCTCTTCAGCGCAGAACCTCATAGCGTCGAGTTCTTTCAGTGCGCTGGAAGTCATCAACAGAAATTGATCTCCGAGGCCCGAGCTGGAATTTATGTGGCGGCGTTCAGGACTAATGATGATGCTGTATGGTTCTGTGAGAGCAGATGGTCCGTGCAGCCAATATTTCTCGCATCGGACAGGGAGAAACAACAAATGTTTCTGCAGCTGTGAGAGAAAAAAATATATTTGAAGGCCCAGTTTTCAAGGGTTGTTGAAAAAAAAAACGCATCCATCCTTTGATGCATCCATCATCTGTATTGTTATCAGTATATCACAGGGTTGTGTTGGATCGCTGAACCTATGTAGAGATAATTAACCATGCTGCTCTAATGGTCACTCAGGAGTCTAGTATTGCTGGGAAGTCTGTGGTTGAGGAGCACAGGAAGAGAATGGAATCTAGACAGACTGTTTCAACGTTAAAGTATTAGCGACTTTTTTGAGATAAAATTGAAAAGAAATCACATTTCACTGTGTTGTACTTGCCACGTGGCTTGCGTTGACTTACTACGTAGAAGGCACCTCGTGATACTGTATGAATTCGTTCCTGTAGGGCTGAGGTG